ACTGTTGATGAGACTACTCATGTCACCTCAGTAGTTGAAGTGAGGAGATCCAGCAGAATTATTAGGCCTCCTAACAGGTTTTCTCCTTCAACAAATTACTTATTGTTGACTGACAATGAAGAACTTTTATGTTATGATGAGGCATTGCAGATGGATGACGTAGCTCACTGGGGGTTAGTCATGCAAGAGGAGATGAACGAACTTGAGAAAAATAAAACTTGGTGTTTGATTGACCTACCAACAGGAATGAGGCATTGCGAAACAAGTAGGTTTTTAGGATCAAGGAAGAACATGATGATAGTAAGAGATACAAGACAAAGTTGGTGGTGAAAGGCTTTCAGAAAAAAAAAGGTATTAACTATAATAAGATTTTTTTCTCTTGTAGTTAAAATGACTACCATTAGACTTTTGTTAAGTATTGTGGTTGCAGAGGATTTACATTTAGAGCAATTAGACGTTAAGACAACATTCTTACATGATGACCTTGAATGGACATTTACATGGTGCAACCAGAGCGTTTACAAGTTGTAGGAAAAGAGAGTTTGGTTTGTAAGTTGACTAAGAGTTTGTATGGGTTGAAGCAAATACCTAGACAATGATACTTGAAGTTTGATAGTTTTATGAGTAGGATAGGGTACAAGAAGTGTGTCATGGATCAGTGTTGTTATATGAAAAATTTTGGTTCATCCTACATCATATTACTATTGTATGTTGATGACATGTAAATTGCACGTTTTAACATGGATGAAATTAATAGAGTGAAGACACAGTTGTCTGAAGAGTTTGAGATGAAGGATTTTGGTATTATAAAGCAGATTTTAGGCATGAATATTAGTAGGATCAAACTTTTTCCCTAATATTATCTCAAGAGAAGTATATTGAAAAAATATTAGAGAAATTCAATATGCATGATGCTAAAATTGTAAGTACACCCTTGGGAGTTCACTTTAATCTCACTCAAGATGAGTCACCTAAGACAGATGAAGACAAGACAAAAATGACTAAGGTTCCTTATGCATTTGCAATCGGTATCTTAATGTATGCAATGGTATGCACTAGACCAAACATTGTTCATGCAGTGAGAGTTGTTATTATATTCATGTCTAATCCAGGAAGGAAGCATTAGGAAGTTGTCAAGTGGTTGTTACGTAACTTGAAAAGTACTTCTAAAACTACATTATGTTTTAGAAGAAATGATGTTATTTTGGAAGGATATTTTGATTCAGATTTGGGAGGTTGTTTAGATACAAGGAAGAGTACTATAGGATTTGTCTTCATAGTAGGCAACACAACAGTTAGTTGGATGTTTCGACTTCAGAAAAGTGTTGCACTCTCAACCACAAAAGCAGAGTACATGGCTATTTCGGAAGCCAGTAAGGAAATTATTTGGTTGAAGAATTTTCTTGAGATGCTAAGAAAGAAGCAGTGCGACAATGTTCTTTATAACAATAGTCAGAGTGTTATTCATCTTGCAAGGAATCCTATTTTTCATGCAGGAACAAAACACATCTAGTTGAAGTATCACTTTATTAGAGAACTAATAAATGATGGTTACTACTGAGAAGTTGAAGTTTTGTATAACTTCAACTGACCTTCATAGTTAATTATGGAGAAGACATTACACGAATTTGGGATTGTTATAACTTTGAGGTTTACTAGATTTACTTTGGAGTGTGCTTGATGTGATCAGCCTCCAAGTGGGAGATTGTTAAGTAGGTAGAATCTGAAGAGTTATTGGGTCTGACTCATTTACTTATTCTTTTATTATAAATACTCATGTAATTGTAAACCTAATTGAGTGAATAAGAACTATCATCTAGTGCAACCGTAAATGTAGGTCACTTTGACTGAACCACATAAATTCCTTGTGTTCTTGTTATGTGCTTTCGTCTTATATTGCATTTGTGTTCCCAATGATGTAATCATCTTTCACAACTTCCCATAAATCTAGTCCTTTAAGATATAATTTTATTCTTACAACCCATGGGTCATAATTTTTGCCATAAAAAATTGGAACCTTCCATTCTTTTTTCGTGAGAATCAAAGCTATTGATACCACTTATAAAAATTTTCAGGGGTTTATGTAAGTGTAGTTCGATATATGAAATATGATTATATATTTTATTCGTGAATTCTATGTATATATATAACAAAAATATGATAAAATATCATATATTAATAATATTTCAATCATAACTACCTAAAATCGAAATAAACCTAATATCTTTTTATCTTATTCTAAAGACAATAAAAATAATTTAATACTTAATTTAAATAAAAGCTAATAAAACAATATTCACAACATGTTTATATATATGGGCATTAGGTTAAAATTGTACAAAAATATTTGAGAAACACTAAACTTGATTTATTTCGACTATAACATTTTCACAATTACCATGTATAGAAGATATAGATTTAATCAATTTCTATTCTTATTTGAATGAAATTAATAGTAATTTATATATATTCTTATTTCTTAATCTATTGATACGTCACTTAAGAATACGTTTTTTAAAAATAAAACCAGACTAAAATTTTAAAATATACAATATCTAATAATAATTATAATATTTATTTTCATAATATAGTATAAATCCTATTCAGTATTTTAGTAAAATATATATTTTGTATTGTAATTTTTTTTAAATAATAATAATATAAATAAATGTCTAAATTTTATATTTTATTTATTTTGTCAATAAAATAATTATAATTTACTATATAAATTATTGATAAGATGTAAATATGACTTTTTTTTATACTTATTTAAGAACTTAAATAAAGATGCCGAGCTAGAAAAATTAATATTTATAAAAGTGTTTAAATTGAGGAATATATATTATTATAAATTTTAAACATGAGTGTTAATAAAATCTTATAAAATCAATTTGTAAGATATTTATATTTTATAATTTACTTAAGTGGACGTAAAATTTCAAGACATTTCTGGCGTGGAAGATAAGATTGATTTCCAATTTCCAATTTCCAACAATTACTATCAATCATTAGTTTATGTTTTACTTTGTCCGTATGAAAAAAAAAATGTTGGTAAGACTGAAGATTACACTGAGTGAGTGGAGAGGGATGAATAGTATAAAGAATTATTCTTGGGAGATAGCGTGGCGCACACAACCATGTATGATTATCAACTATGTAAGTGGTTTCTTCGTTGTGCCTTTAAGACCAGGATTTACACGCAACTATGTTTTGATAATATTGCTTTAAAGCACTTGTCAAATGCCACATTGGTTGTATATTTTCACAGTTCCATTGTTAGAACAATACTTTATGATGAGATGGGCACGTAAAAAATCCATAATCTATTTCATCACGTAGTTGAGAAGTATTGCAATTGCAAATAAACATACTGTGAAAGAAACAATTTTAGTATTTATTACTTTTTTTCATCATGGTGCCGTTTTGCATTCATGGACCAGCAAATAGAATGTTTGACGAAAGTTGAAAGAGAAATGTAGAAAGTATGGTATTCAGGCACAATGGCTAGAAAGTTTAAAGGATAACAATATAGAGAGGAAGCCGAATGTTATTACTTAGTATTTTTAAAATAATTATATAATTAGATATTTATAAATTTAAAAGTTTTATATGAAAATAATAATTATCTAAAATTATAATTCTATTTTAAAATTTAAATATTTCAATTAACATTTTAATATATTATTTTTTATCTAATTTTATTCTACTAAATTTTCTTATAAAATTAAATGTTTTTTTGTCAAACACCAATCTAATCCTTATCTTTAGAATGAGATTGATCATCCAATAACTTGATTAATCTAAAAACTTTTTTTATCCTTCATCCAGGTTTGACTTATTATCCATTCTTCCATATTTTATCCAACAATAAATAAGATTACATATTTATTATTGGGTCTTTTTAGGAAATTAAGAACAAGAAGATTCTTACAAATATGATTAACTTAAGAACTTTTTTCATCTTTCATCCAAATCGACTTATTATCAACTCTTCCATATTTTATTCAATATTAAATAAGATTACATGTTCTCATATACGAGGTTTGACTTATTAACTCTTCCATATTTTATGAGTTATTATCAACTCTTTCATATTTAATAAAATTATATGTTTATTGTTAGGTCTTTTAAAGGACTAATATCAGCTACATTTTCGCAAATGAGATAAACTTAAGAACTTTTTTCATCCTTCGTCTAAGTCTGACTTAATATCAACTCTTCCATAAGATTACATGTTCTCATAAATAGAGTCCAACTTATTATCAACTCTTCCATATTTTATCCAACATTAAATAAAATTACATGTTTATTGTTAAGTCTTTTTAGGAACTAACATCGGAATCATCCTCACAAATAGGACACAAATCAATAATATAAAAGAATATGATATTATTCTTAATCCAAAATCTTAAACATTAAATTATAGTTATTTCTCTCTTATAAGTTACTTAAATTCTAATCTATCAATCTAAGACTTACAACTCATTTTTGAATTCTCAACATTTATATTTATTTATGATGAGAGTAATATTTTCTCTTTCAAACATCAAAACCATGGCGGCCACCAAAGAAGAAAAATACGTTAACGAATAGGAAAACAAGAGACAAAACTGTTATATGACTAGTTAACAAGTGTTAACCTCCCCACAGTTGAGAATACAGTCAGCCATGTATATGAGTGTGTCTTCTATATACGACTGATTCATGATTCATGATTCATTATACCCCTATAGCTGCCGAAGATGCTTCTATGATGATGGATGAGATACAAAACGTGCTTCCAAAGGAAGGTGATGTATGTGCAGCAAAGTCATATCATACCCACGTTTGAATGGATCTAGATCCTCTCCATATACCTTTTTGAGAACAGAATTAGAGAGATTCTGGTTTTTCTCTCTCCTTAATGCTTGTTGATGGAGAAAGATTTGATCAAGGAGAAATAAAGTTAATTGCCAGAGATATGAAGACTACATTTGTTATGCCTCCTTTACATTGGTGAGCTATGACACAATGTTTTGACACTTTTCTGAACCATCCAAGACTATTTCAAATAGATCAGCCTCTGACTCATCAAAATCTAAGACTTGACTGTTATTCCCATTGGGGTGATTTCCTTTGTTTGCCGATCTATTAAGCCATTGAGAGTCAATCCTTCCCATGGAGAAGAGCTCCTTGCTGTCATCATAGCCAAGGGTAGCACCAGGGGAATTTACAAGTGGGGCTTTGAAGCATGGATTTGGTGTTCTTTGTGCATTTGCAGGTGCATATTTGAATGCACTTTGTCCAAAATTAACTAAAACCTGAATGTCAATATTTGCAGCCAAAGTTGGACAGAGTGGAGTGCCAAATTCTTCTGATTGGCAGTGGATGACATGCACCAATTCTGAGTCCAATGTGAAGAAAACCTTTTTCTGCCTCGGATCAAACCCGCATCCAATTACCCTTTCAGTTCCTATCCATTGTGCCTTCTCAGATTCCATCACAAGTTTCATTCCTGTAACCAAGTTTCGCACTTAGGGTAAATGAAAAGAACATGGGAAGCAATAAGAAAATGATAGGTAAATTTAGTTACCTTCTAGAAAGACAGAACCATTGGAGTTGAATCCAATGCTCCTAGGGTAGCTACCTGGAACTCTTAAAGGAACACCTCCTCCTGCTGCTAACCCCAATGAGAACATCACAGATCCACTCTTTCCACCACCCTCTTTCTGGCCAAGTTTCACTTCTTCAACCATATTCAAATCACCTATACCTTTTGAACTATCTTCAATGAGGAGTTTTGTCTTCTCGCCTTCTTTCTTTCCAACAACTGATTCATGATCACCAACACCAGAACACAATATGGTAATTTCAAAATAGGCTTCTTGTGGGAAGGCATAGTTTCCCAAATGAGGGCCAGGAAGAGGTAGAGAAGTCCTGATAACAGAAGCAACACTCATATTGAAAGAGTTGTTTGTGTGAAGAACCTTTTTGAACCCAGGATTGAGCCTAACCTTCTGCATATATTCAGCTGATCCATTACACACTTCCCAACTTATCTCAGCCTCACTTCCTCTTCCATACTCACCAGCACCAGCAGCACATGCTCCTAAAAGACTTGATCTCTTTGAAGGAGACGGAATGTTGCTCTTGTAGTTAGTAAAAGCAAATCTGGACCACCCATTTTCCACAGCATCAACAACAAGGTAGGGATGATCATCCCAGTTGAACAAATGTCCCCTTCCAGATACCCCGTTATGAAAGACATAAAAGTTGCCTTTGTTTTTGCTTTTGTGGTCAAATTGGTGATAGACTGCAGGTTGTTGTTCATGTAGTTTTGCAATTCCTTCTTGGAGACTCTCCATTCTGGTCAAGTTATTGGCTTCAACAAAATTTCTGTGCTCCTTCTTGTGATGACACCAACGCCACATGAAAACCAGCAAAAGGGTTGAAACACATCCCAAGGAGGCTGCCGCCACCGCAACATGTATAACTTGATCCATCTATGATTTTTTTCAGGTTATGTTTTTCTGCTTTCTTTTCCTTCCAGTTTCTTATGCATAGAATATTGTTCCACCAATGAAGGGTGTGGTTTGGATTTCGGATGATGAGTAATGGTAAAGGAAGAAAAGGAAAGAAGGAGGCGAAAATGATAAGGGGGCAATGAGATATGGTGAGCATGGACTTAGACTTGTTCAATCAAAGCATGCAATGAGATGTGTTATGTACTTTTGTTATCAAACCAAACGGTGAAGTATCACATAAGGTTGATTTTTCCTTGGAGTATGAATTCTTTGTCTGTATCTTTTTATTTAATTTTATGGGAACCGACAAACACTTCTCATTTGTGAACAAACGCGTTTGTTGATTTATTTTTGTTTTATTTAGTTTTCAAAGGAGAGAGTGAGAGAAAAGAAAAACACCAACTGAGTTGTTGATAAACATAGAATATACGATTACAAATACCGTATCATGCCATGATTCTACATGATTATTTTTTTCCATATTTAGCTTGGCATGACAGCGATGCACAGTGATGCACATTAATGTCATATCTGTTAATAGACAAATTTAGGATACCGACTATAATGGTTAGCGTAATTATAGCCTAGAATGTTTCTGTATTTCATGTATATATTGTGCTATCATATTCAATACAAGACAGGGGTTTTTGGAAATATTTTTATCATGGTATCAGAGCTAACCAAACTCTGATATCCAACAGCCCGAGAACACAGTCGTACTTCTAAAATGGCAGAGAGAGGAGAGACGGTGAAGAAAACACCATCGCCATACGATCTGAGTGTCAGTGATAATCCTGGAAATGTGATTACACAGGTACAATTACGAGGAGAGAATTACGAGGAATGGGCAAGGGCCGTGAAGATATCTCTGCGGGCTCGAAGGAAATGGGGTTTCATAGATGGAACTCATAAGGAACCTGAAGAAGACACATCTGAGATAGAAGATTGGTGGACAATTCAATCGATGCTTGTATCTTGGATACTAAACACTATAGAACCTAGTTTGCGTTCCACTGTTGCATACATGGAAAACGCAAAGGACCTATGGGATGACATCAAGGAACGATTCTCGATCGTGAACGGACCAAGAATCCAGCAGCTAAAGTCAGAGTTGGCAGAATGCAAACAACAAGGAATGACTATGGTTTCCTATTATGGGAAGTTGAAAACGTTGTGGGATGAACTGGCAAATTACGAGCAAATCCCACAGTGTAGATGTGGGGGATGCAAGTGTAATATTATGACGCAACTTGAGAAACGAAGAGAAGAAGAAAAAATTCATCAGTTCTTGATGGGGCTAGATGATGAGGGCTATGGAACTGCACGGTCAAATGTTTTGGCAACAGATCCATTACCCTCGTTGAATCGGGTGTATGGCACCATGGTGCAAGAAGAAAGGGTGAGAACAATCACCAGGTCTAAAGAAGAGCGAGGAATGATCGTGGGAATGGCTATGCGAGCGGAAACCAGGAACAAGTTGCGCAATGAAGCGAAAGAAAAATCAGTTGTTTGCATGCAGTGTGGAAGGAAGGGACATGACAAAGGCAATTGCTTCAAGATCATTGGTTACCCAGAATGGTGGGGAGAGAGACCACGAACCGATAGAAACGATGAAAAAAATCAACAAAGAACAGGAACCTTCCGAGGAAAAGGAGGAACGGCTCGCGTCAATATGGCGCACACTGGTGCAGATAACGTTGGTTCAACCGAAAAACCAGAAGTCGCAGGACTGAGTAATGAGCAATGGCAGATCTTGACAGCAATGTTGAATTCTCGCAAGGCAAATGAAACTGAAAAGATGACTGGTAAGAAAGCATGTGACTTGTGGATTATTGATAGTGGCGCCTCTAATCATATGACAGGAACACTAGAAAACTTGAGGGAGAGTCGAGCCTTGGAAGGGTGCCCAGTGGGACTACCAAATGGTGAATTGGTGCTGGCAAACAAAGAAGGATCGGTTTTCCTTGATGGAGGACTGAAACTTAAACATGTTCTATATGTTCCGAAATTGAATTGCAATTTGATTTCAGTATCACAATTGACGAATGAAGTAAAATGTACAGTACATTTTACTGATAGATTTTGTGCAATGCAGGACCACACTTCGAGGATGCTGATTGGAGCGGGTGAACGAAAAGAGGGACTCTATTGGTATCGTGGTGTGAGTGGCATAAAGGCGTATCAGACCAATGCAGAAAATCAACTAGAGATTTGGCACAAGCGAATGGGACATCCTGCCTACCAGATTGTTAGAAAAATTCCGCATCTGAACAGCGTGAATAGAAATACGGATACAACTCGTGTGTGTGAAGTGTGTGAGAGATCAAAGCAATGCAGAAACACATTTCCTTTAAGTGATTTTCAAGCATCCAATATATTTGATTTAATACATTGTGATTTATGGGGTCCATATAGAACTCCCTCGTCTTGTGGTGCATCTTACTTTCTCACTTTGGTTGATGACTGTTCTCGAGCTGTGTGGATATATCTCTTGAATAATAAGAAAGATGTATCACAAACCTTAATGCATTTCATCGCCTTAATAGAGCGACAATACGAGAAACAAGTCAAAATATTACGAAGTGACAATGGAACTGAGTTTATGTGTCTTCAACGATATTTTCAGCAACATGGGATACTCCATCAAACCTCATGCACTGGAACACCTCAGCAAAATGGGAGAGCCGAACGAAAACATCGACACATCCTAAATGTAGCTCGTGCTCTACGATTTCAGGGAGAACTTCCACTTCAATTCTGGGGAGAATGCATTTTGACCGCAGGATACTTGATCAATCGTACACCCTCAACCGTTCTCCATGGAAAAACTCCATATGAAATATTGAATGGGAAGCCACCCACTTATGACCATCTACGGGTATTTGGATGCTTGTGTTATGCACATAACCAAGATAGGAAAGGTGACAAATTTGCAAGTAGAAGTCGCAAGAATGTATTTGTTGGATATTCAATCGAAAAAAAGGGCTGGAAATTGTTTGATCTGGAAAGAGAAGTCTTCTGGACTTCGAGAGATGTTAAGTTTGTAGAACATGAATTCCCGTTTGCCTCTCTTGCCCACAGTAGACATTCAGAGGTAGGATTGCCTACTGTTGATGTTGGCATTGTCGAGGAAGCATTGCCTGGACTTGGTGCAATGAACAATGCAGAACACGTTGTGGAGACTGATGACGTTAACCCCACAACAGAAGATGTGCCCACAACTGAGTTCAGGGAGGGCCACGCTGAATGCCATGAACAAGAGCCTCCCACCCAGATCGTTCTCCCACCAGAACAAACTGACTCTATGATGACAGAACTAGAGGTTCCTGAGGAGCATACTGTCCCTGCATCCCGGGGAAAGGTCTTCGTGTACGAAAGCCATCTGTGAAGCTTCGTGATTATGTCACTAACACCACTTTACAACTCGGTCCCTCAATTCGCACTCCACATTCAGCTTCCTCAGGTATGCCTTACAGTTTGACAAAGTACTTAAATTGTGCTAAATTCTCCTTCCCCCACCGAACCTTTCTTGCAGCCCTTCATGCAGAGAGAGAACCTGTGCATTTCTTTGAAGCCGTTCGGGATGTTAGATGGAGAGATGCCATGGCTAGTGAAATTCAGGCCCTCCAAAGTAATGAAACATGGGACATTACTCCTTTACCGCAGGGAAGAAGCCTCCGGGTTGCAAGTGGATTTATAAAATCAAATATCATTCTGATGGGAGCGTTGAACGCTTCAAAGCCCGATTAGTTGTCTTGGGAAATCACCAAGTTGAGGGGATTGACTATGACGAGACCTTTGCCCCAGTGGCAAAGATGGTCACCATTCGGACAGTGTTGGCAGTGGCAGTAGCCAAAGACTGGGAACTCCATCAAATGGATGTCCATAATGCTTTTCTGCACGGCGATCTTGAGGAAGATGTGTACATGAAAATGCCGTCAGGGTTCTTGGTGTCTCAAAAGGGTATGGTGTGTCGTCTCCGTAAATCCCTTTATGGTCTTCGTCAAGCTCCTCGGTGTTGGTTTGCCAAGCTCTCAACTGCTCTTGTTCAATATGGGTTTCAACGTTCTTGTTCATCTTTCGCAAAGGAGATGTCGAACTGATTATGTTAGTTTACGTGGATGACCTAGTCATTGCTGGCAATCATCATGAAGACATTGCGCAATTCAAAGATTATCTTCATCAATGTTTTCGTATGAAGGACTTAGGGAAATTAAAATACTTTCTTGGGGTGGAGGTTGCCAGATCTCCTACAGGAATTTTCTTGTGCCAACGAAAGTATGCGTTGGACATCATAGCTGAAGCAGGATTGCTTGGAGGGAAACCTGTGTCCACGCCAATCGAAGAAAATCATCGTTTAGCATTGGCTGATGGCGAACTACTTTCTGACCCGAGTCAATATCGACGTCTCGTCGGTCGCCTTATTTACTTGTGTTTTACACGACCTGAATTATCTTACAGTGTTCATGTCCTATCTCAATTCATGCACCAACCGCGTCAGGAGCATTGGCGGGCTGCACTCCGCGTGGTACGCTATTTAAAGGGCAGCCCGGTCAGGGTGTGCTTTTAAAAAGAGAGAGTGACCTTCGTCTTTATGGTTGGTGTGACTCGGACTGGGCAAGTTGTCCTCTCACTCGAAGATCTCTCACCGGTTGGTTTATTTTCCTTGGTCAATCCCCCGTTTCCTGGAAAACCAAGAAGCAACATACGGTTTCTCGATCATCCGCTGAGGCAGAATATCGTTCTATGGCCAACACGACATGTGAGTTGAAATGGCTTCAAGGCCTTCTTTCGAGCCTAGGCATTACTCACACCGACCCTATGACTCTCTACTGTGACAACCAAGTTGCCCTTCACATTGCCAAGAATCCTGTGTTTCATGAACGGACAAAACATATTGAAGTGGATTGTCATCTTATTCGTGATGAAATACAACACAATCATATTCAACCCTCCTATGTGTCCACTCATCATCAACT